TGCTGCTGTTTTTGTGTCATTATGCTAATTGCAGTGTAATTGCTCATTTGCATATGCACTAATTAATTACACATGTGAACTGTAGACTTAGAACTGTACTGGAATTTACTGCTGTTACTGTATTAGTACTGTATGTGTGTGTGTGTGTGTGTGTGTGTGTGTGTGTGTGTGTGTGTGTAAGGCAGTGTTGATGAAGTGTAAATGCAACTGCTAGTCAATATCAGTCAACGCATCGATACTGTAATGAACTTAGAGGTGACACGGTGGTTCAGTGGTTAGCACTGTCGCCTCACAGCAAGAAGGTCTCGGCTGGGTCAGTTGGTGTTTGAGTGTGGAGTTTGCATGTTCTCCCCATGTTGGTGTGGGTTGGTGTGGGTTTCCTCTGGGTGCTCCGGTTTCCCCCACAGTCCAAACACATGCGCTATAGGGGAGTTGATGAACTGTGGTGTATGAGCGTGTGTGAGTGTGTGAATGAGTGTGTATGGGTGTTTCCCAGTACTGGGTTGCAGCTAGAAGGGCATTCGCTGTGTAAAACCTATGCTGGAATAGTTGTCGGTTCATTCCGCAGTGGTGACCTCTGATAGATAAGTGACTAAGCCTAAGTAATATGAATGAATGAATGTTATTAATGATTTAACACTAATAATTCCACAGAAACTGCTCGTCAAACACAAATAAAAGAGTAAAGAGCTTGCTTTCCCCTTATTTGGATTAAAGCTGAACGTCTTCCTCTAGTAAAGTGTTGTTGTTTCTCAACCACGTTCCTTGAGAACCACCAACACTTCATGTTTGGGATGTCTCCTTTGTCTGTCACTGTACTGTCTGTCAGTGTACTGATGCTGTGACACGTTACCTGATAGATTCAAAAGAACGAAGAGTCGTTAGATAAAGATTAATTAAATATCACGGTTAACAACTGTAGTGAGACGCCATCCAGCGCTACATCCTTGATGAACTGTCCCACGTGCACTGCTCTCTGGAGCTCAGAGGAGCGCATGTGTGTTTGTGGCTGTGTGTGTGTGTGGGGTTGTGATGTGCATTTTCCAACCCAGGCTCATTGTGGAAATGTAGTCCCGCGAACGTTTCTGGAGACCGCGGAATACATCCCGGCGGGTACGTACGGCTGCAGTTTTTGTTTTTGTGAATCCGCGAGAGGCCGCTGTTGTGCGCTTTTTCGCACCTCAGATGCCTCTCGTGAGTGCAGTTCGCGCCCGCGCTGTTCTCGCGTGAACCCACTAGAGGCCGCTGTCCGACTGACTGGATGATTGTCTGCGCGACCGGCCAATCGGCTGACCCGCCCTCCTCCTTCCCTGAACCCAACCAATTTTACCGATCGACCCACCCGCCCGCTCGCTTCCCTAAACCCAACCAATAGTTCATAAAAGCCGTCCAAAAAAAGAAAAGCCCTGATTTTTTTTATTCCACCGCGTTTTTGGATTTCACCGCGTTCTCACCCTGTTACGAAATTCGTTCACTTAATTTTTGGGATTGTGTTTTTGTCTTACCTGATTGCTGGAAACGCTCTTTCCCGGACTCGAAACCTCTCTGCATCTCGAGCCTGCCGACGTACACGATGAGCTGAGTGGACAAACGGGTTGCAGCGGGGAAGCCCTCCACAAGGAGGTAATCCGTCAGCCGGCAAGCGTGAAAGGGAACAGCGTCACACCGCCCCGCAGTGTTCGCTTGAAAAAAATAAATGTAGCCGTACGTACCTCCCGGGACGTATTCCGCTGTCTCCAGAAACGTCCGCGGGACTACATTTACAGAATGAGCTTGGGTTGGCATTTCCAGCAGACGGAGGGCTGTTCAGAAATGCTAGGTAAAACGGTGTGGATGTGGATCATTTACTAAGACATATTAGTGTAAACGGGGCCTGAGTGTGTGTTTTTCGACCAGCGGATTTGCGACGGAGGCGGGGCGGAGGATCGGCGATGCAGGCTCAGCATCGTGTTGTCTATCGGCGATGAGCGATGGCATCGTCCATCAGCCCATCCCTAGTTTATATCGTCCTCATGTGAGTTTTGTCACTGTTTTACAGCACTCTAGATTATAGATATCATTAAAAAGAACACACTGAAATCTAAAAAACCTTCATTTAATCTCACAGAGACTTTTAAACCTGCCTGAAGGGAATGAAAATAGCCTGATCTCTTTCCTTGAGGAGCTTATTTATCAACTAATTTCGAGAGGAGCACGTGATTATGCTTGATCACAGCTGGTCCTGCATTAGCGAACGCATGATTCACCAATCACACGATTCCTAACTAACAACCAGAGTATCTAACCTAAACCATCTTCATCTTGAAGAATCCCCCCTTCACCCCTACTCCTCCTCCTTTACCTGTATAAGGCAGTGATTAACACAGCAAGAACATCACGGTGTTTAGCAGATCTACTCTGATAGTTCTGTAATTGTAGATACAGTATAAGTGTTAAACTAAACACTTCTTCCTCTGATGTGTGTGTGTGTGTGTGTGTGTCAGATGCTTTGATACTCGCTCACTTTGCTGCAGTCTTTGGGTTGCCAGGTATGCATTCCATTATCAATGCGCATTCAGAAATGATTCAGTTTCAAGACAGAAACTTTACGCACATTATCAATTAAACACATCCTGACACTTTAGAGCTTTTCATGTAAAATGGATTTTCAGAAGAGCCCAATTGTGTGGGAAACCCACCACCCTGGCAACCCTGATGTCAGATCAGAGATGAAGATTACCTCCTCAACCCTACGCAATATTCCAAAATATACATGAAATGGGTGGATGGAAATAGTGTGTGTGTGTGTGTGTGTGTGTGTGTGTGTGTGTGATTACTGTCTGCTAATCACTGAAGGTTTCTGCTCTGGTCTTTTGTGTTGATCTGGTCACGCTGATCCTCCTGTTTCTGACACTCTGAGGAGTTTCTGATTTAAACCGTGACTGTGGACACTGGATCCTGTGTGTGTGTGTGTGTGTGTGTGTGTGTGTGTGTGTGTGTGTGTGTGTGTGTGTGTGTGTGTGTGTGTGTGTGTGTGTGTGTGTGTGTGTGTGTGTGTGTGTGTGTGTGTGTGTGTGTGTGAGGGGGGATGGTGGTGAGAAACAGTGTGCGATGTGTCTCTCATCTCCTCTTCTTCACACCGCATTAAAGCACTGCGCTGTTTAAAGCATTAACTATAATCTGCAATTGTTTCCTGTAAGAGACTGTCAGACTGAACCCATCATGTTTAAGAATTTAAGATGTATTTTTTATTAGTGCTGGCCGGAGATTTTATCACCGTTAATTGCCTTCTAAATATATGTTTGTTTTAATATAATTTCCAGAGCTCTGCATATATGAGTTCACCCCCCACAAATCTCTCATTTACATTCATATGTTTAATAGGAAGCTCTACAATATTATATTTGTGCTTATACATTAGATTAGTCAGAACAGAAGCCAAATCTGCAGGTCATCTAACAAAATAACTTACAATGATGGGTTAGAAATTAGTAGCTCAAATGTATATGATAGCATGTAAAATGCAGCATCGTGTGTGTTGCTGTGAGATGTTCTCATACGTAAGCTTTCTTGTGTGAAAAAATATGAAATATGTATTAAAATGTGGCATGTTGAGAGTTTAATTGTGTTGGAGTGTGACAGAACACTTATTTATTGTGTGCTGTTGGGTCGTTTTCATCCACTCTGGGTTGATTTTGAGTCTTAATTTGGCCTCATCTTTCTCTGTGTTTGAACAAATGAGATGATTTTTGCTGAATGATTTTTGAAATTTGGGGATTTTATTTTATTTTATTTTATTTTATTTTATTTTTTGTATTTAGTTTTATTTTATTAAGTGGTTTGTTTATTTTTAAATAATTAAATAATTAAGTTATTAATAAAGGTATTATTTTACTTATTTAATTTAATTTTGATTTTATTAAATTGTTTTTATTTTTAATTTACGTTTTTTAAAATTGTATTAATGTTTTACATTTTTGTGATTTTAATTTAATTGAATTTTACTTAATTATATTTTGTAATTTTTTTATTTAATTATTTTATTTTATTTTCCAAAAGCATAAACACATATTTTAGGAGATTTTAGCATTTTATTTTATTTTATTTTATTTTATCTTATTTTATTTTATTTTATTTTATTTTATTTTATTTTATTTTATTTAAATTTATTTTATTTTATTTTATTTTATTAAAAAAATTTTGTTTTGTTTATTTAATTTTATTTGATTTAGTGGTTTGTTTATTTTGAAATAATTAATTAATTAATTTATTTATTTATTATTTACTAATTATATTTTATTTAATGTAATTATATTTTTATTTTGATTTAATTTAATATCTGTATTTTATTCATTTTATGTTTCATAATTGTTTCGCATTTTTGTAATTTTAATTAAATTTAATTTAGCTTGAATATATATTTTGTTTTGTTTTTTAATTAATTATTTTATTTTTCAAAAGCATAGGCACATATTTTAGAATTTTATTTTATTTCATTTTATTTTT